AGCTCAGGCCCCTGCGCCAGTGCCTTCTAAGGAAGAGTTATCTTTCCACTCTATTCCTCCTTGGTGACCCTTCAGAGGAAGACATCGGGATAGTCACGGAGGACTGAAATTTTGAACTATAAGGTGCTGTGCGGCACCGGGGAATGTTCCACTCAGCCTAAAACCCTAACCTGCCCAGCGCTTGCTCCTGCATGGCAGCTCTTCTGCTTTTCAGAGCTGGGTTGTTGTCCCCTAGATAAATGACACCTGTAGACCTTAAACAGAAACCCGACAGACATACCTTCATTTAAACCAAGTACTGGCGCTGTGTCTGAAATATGAGAGTATGGTTGCTTTCATCTCTGATTTTAAAAGAACTGGGTGTGGGGGGGTGTTTACGCGTCCCGACCACCTCAGCATTGAGGGCCTGGCCTGACAGGGGTTAGGACCACACCCACCTCCCTCTCTGGGGCAGCCGGGGACACGCGCCCAACCCATGGACCTCCCCTGCACCGTGAGGCCCACAGTCAGAAGGGTGTTCCCTTCCCCGATCCAACCAGGAAGGAACCATCTCAGGAGGACCCTGGAGCTGCTGGGGCAGTGTTCCCGCCCCCTCACCCTGCCCGCCTCCCACTGCAGCGGCCAGGGCTGCGGGCGGAGCCCTCTCTCCCCCCGCTCGGGCCAGGGCCGCTCTCCTTTCCCCACTAGTGGGCTTGGAGAGAGGGAATCTGATAGAAAGCCTGCTTGTGTGTCACCTGTTTACCTGTGGGAAAGAAAACATGGTCATTTAAATGAAAAAAACCCCACCTGCTTCTAGTCTAAACACTGAGTCTAGAAAGTTGGTCCTTAATCAGACAGAAATGTCAGTGCCCCCCGGGCACCGCTCAGCCCCTCTTCATGACGTGTGAACTAATCTTCTCATCAACGGGCAAAGAATCTCCTTGAAAGGAACAGAACCAACTTAGACTGACCAAGCAGAAAAGGAGTTTGGGGGAACTGTGCAGAGGTCGCCACGGCGTCAAAGGGAGAAGCCGAAACACAGATGAGAGCGCGCGGCTTCCGGGGCCGGCGAAGGGCGCGGACGCGCTCCTCGGGGTTGCCCGGTGCCGCGTTCAGCCGCCCCGGGAGCAGGTCCCGGAGGGGCGCAGTGGGCGCGGAGCTGGGCAGCGAGGCCTGCCCCCCAGCTGCCCCAGTGCCGGCGCCTCCGAGCAGAAGCCCCTCCTGCCTCGCGACGCAGCCTGCGACCCTCAAGACCGTAACTCAGGGCCGTCAGGCCTTTTAGGGCAGCCGCCCCGTCCTTCGAGGTCCCGGAACACGTGGTTTGAGCAGAGCAGTCAGGTCCAAAAGGTTCGGGCTTGTTCCAGTTTATATCAGTGTACCTGCCTCTCTGGTAAAACGAGGAGGAAAAGAAACTAAGTCATCCTCCGCAACTGCTGTGGCTCCGAGGAGGGCGGGCAGGTGGAAGCCCGGCTGCGCTTCCTTCTGCGAGGACTCGGCCGGCAGGCCCGGCGCACATGCCTTTCTTATATCGCCATCCACGCTTCCCTTTCAGGCGTGAAGCTGCCCTCGGTTTTGTTTTACTGTTTCAGCCCCCCGGCCCCCGACTCAGGTGATGTCCACAGAGAAACGTGTGTAAACTCACCCGCTCGTGGACTCGGCACCTCCAGCGGGGTTCCCGGGGCTCCTGCGAAATTGCACGTCTCATCACCACCCTTTTAAGACTAAGACTTGAAGACAAAGGGGACGTGTTCGTCAGCTTTTTTAAAAACCTCAGAGTTCTTGGAATCTTTTTTACCATCCACATACATAAAAGCCAGTTTCAACTTTCCTTACTCGTGGAACTGCCTGAAAACATTGTGTTTCTCTTTTAATTCTTTGTGCAGAAGTTAGTTCAGGTTGACACTTGCCAAACACTTCGATCTAATTAAAGCGAGGACACCGCAGCCATATTCCAGGAGAATCCCTGCCCCGGTAACTCCCCCATCCCCCTCGGTCTGGATTCCCTCCTCTTGAACCTTCATCTTTACCAGTCACATCACACACACAATTACTGAACCATTCACCTCTGACGGGATTTTATTTAAAACTGTCCCGCGCGTGTTATACGTTCTTCCCCGGCTGCCGCCATGACTGCCGTTCTCTGAGACGCAGAGGTGGCTGGAGGTGGGCCTCGCCGGGGGCATGTGACCCTGAGGTGCGGCCACGGAGGACAGAGCAGGGCCCCGTGCACGTGGGCAGCTTGTGGAGGGGACGTGACACTTCACAGGGACGTGAGGGCCAAGCTTGACTGCACGGGTCAGCTCCACCTCTAATGTGCTCCTCAGGGGGAGTGACCGTGTCCGTGGGTCCAGGCCTGGGCCTGCCCCGAGCTCTGTGTTCCACCGCGGAGGGCACCCAAACGTCATGAGCGGTTGGTTCCCCGGCGCTCTATTCCCGGTCACCTCCCTCCAGCCCCCAGACGCTCTGTGCGCTGCCCACCAGGTGCCTTGCCTAGGCCACCCTTTCCACTGCAAAGGCCCTAGCTTGAGCCTGAGCATTCCCCATCTCTCACGTTTCTGCAGGAGCCCATCTGCCCCACGGAGCCTTCGGAATCTCTGCCACGCACGACATCCTTCTCTCTGTTCTCCCACTGGCTGCCGTCTGTGTGCTGTTAACACCCAAAGCTGACTCTTCCCCGAATGCTTTACGTGGAAAGTTTTCAGGCATTCAGAAAAAGTCACATGAACTGTAAAACACTCATATACTTGCCCTTTAGAGTCTACACTTAACATTTTGCTCTATCTGCTTTGTCACGTATCCATCTGTCCATTCCTCCATCCACCCATCATATATACATATTTTCAAAACAAGGTGCAGACATAAGTATGTTTTACCCCAGACACTTCTGTGTGCGTATAACTAGAGTTCAGTGTTGATTGTTTCTTTTTGAGGTAACACTTACATAGGGTGAAATGCACAAATCCTTAACGTTCCATTTACTGAATTTTGACGAGGTATATACCTGGGTGTCACAAATCACGGTTCAGAAAGAGAACTTTCCCATCACACCAGGACCTTCTGGGTCGGTCACCATCCCCACTCCCGAGGGCAACCACCGTTCCAGTTTTTTTCGCCATGGGTTAGTCCGGACCTCCTTGGAAGTGAATATAAATGAAACAGGCAGCGTGTGCTTTGTGTGGGCCCTTGTGTGCAATGCACTGTGTCTGAGGCCCGCCCGAGGTGTTGTCTGGGTCGTAGTTCTTTCCTTCTCGTTGCTGGTGCCATTCCGTTGTGTGAAGGCACCGTGAACGTCCATCTGCAGCCTGGTAATGGGAGCTTGTGTCATTCCACTTTAGGCTGCTGGGAACGTGCCTGCATTTCTCTTGGCTAATACCTAGGAGGAAACAGCTGGGTCACGGGGCAGGTGTGTGCTGAGCTTTATAGAAACTGCTGGACCTTTTTCTTAAGGGCTCCTGCATCTCACCCTCTGCTCCTGCTGGACGACAAGCCATGGCGCCCAAGGCCTTGACTGCATTTGGTGTCTTCAGCCCTGGGACTTCAGCCGTCCCAGTAGAACATCATGGTGTCTCTTTGTGGCTTTTTCTTTTCCTGGATGACAGTGAATGTTGTGTGTCTTCTCAGGGCCTGTTAGTTCCGTGTTTATTCAGATATCTTTTTTTGTGAAAGGTCTGCTCAAATCTTTCGTCCATTTTTTATTTTTAAAAGTATTTTTATGATGAGTTGGAGTTCTTTATATATTCTGGATACCAGTCCTGTGTGAGATATGTGTTGTGTCAGTATTTTCTCCCATTCTGTCATTTACCTGTTCATTTTTTTTAATGGTTTCTTTGCGAGGCGGGAAGTTTTAAATTTTGATGAACTCTAATGTATCTTTTTTTCTTTTATGGTTATTACCGTCTGTGTCCTAAGAGACCTTTGCCTACCTCAGAGTCACAAAGATACTCTGTATTTTCTTCTAGACACTTAATAATTTTACCTTTTACAATTAGGTCTGTGCCCATCTCACATTGATGGTTATGTACGGTATGTGACAGGGGTCAAGGTTAACTTTCCCCATATGGCTGTGTGACAGGGGTCAAGGTTAACTTTCCCCACATGGCTGTCCAGTTCCACACGGTGTACTTCTGTGTGTCCTTCTTGCCCTCATACTGTGACTTGGCCTGGTCCTTCACACAGCACTCACTCAAGGCATGTTAACTGAATTGCACTGACGATTTAGAGGAAATAGGGACTCCAGTAATCTTTTAATGTCTTGGTGCTGGAATTCATCTTACAGGATCCGTCCCCCAAATTAAATACTGGTGAGAGAGCCCTGTTCAACCTTGAGTTAGTTAGCATTACCTGCCAAGAGTACAGGTCGGGGCCACAGGGTTGACTGCTCGAATGTTGTCTTTGGCTTCTTTGAGTGAAGAGTGGAGATAAATTCAGCTTTTTACTGAATTGCTACTATATGCTAGACAGGGTGCCTCACTTCTTTCCAATACAGCTTCTTATTCTAGCTTTACTGAAACCTTGTATGTCAGATGAGGAAATTTGAGAACCAGACATTAGGAGTTCTCCAAGACAGGCAGGCCTGGAGGAAAGCCAATAACTTGTGTCTGATATAAGTCTTCTGCAAGATAATTAACCGTTGAATGATTTTAAAGTGCACGGGACTTGATAATAACACTTGGCAGGTAATTAAACATATTAAATTCTGAATCAGCCCAAAGATAGCTGAAAAATTAAGTCTTCTGACATCACTCCAAGTGTATAGTAATATGTGCAAAATAAAAACCCCCGGGAAACATATTTGGCTCTAAATCTCTAAGCTAAGAGTTTGATTAGATAGTAAAAAAGGCATTAAAACAAGAAACAGCTTCGGGGCCCATGCACTGCCCAGGGCTTTTTGAAACGTCCTCACAGTCAAGCTCGTGGTTCACAAAGCCGAATGTCCCCTGACCGTGCAGATTTGATGTGTGTCTTCGTCCCTGTGTACTGTCTGCGGAGAATGAGCCGGCTGATCCTCTCTTCGTCCGCAGGTATGCTTCAGAAGTGTCCTTCTATCGATGACTTCGTAAATGCCCTTGTTTCCGACTTGGATATGGACTCGGAAACTTTCCTCGTGGATTCTAAATGATGGGAACACCGTGAATCCTTTAAATCAGTCACGGAGATATCAATTTTGTTGTAAATGCTACAACTTTGAACGTTTGTTTCTGATTTCAGCATTCAGTTCTGTAATGACTTATGAAAAACCTCAAACCAGTGGCACTTGGAATAAATAATTTTTTTAAATTATGCTGGCTTTTAGCCTGTTTGTTTGGCAGATTTTTGAACATAAGGAAATCCATTCAGTGAGCGAGTACAAACCAGGACACAGGGGTTAGCGTCAGGGGCCAGACACCCTCAGCCCAGCCCTGCTGCCGGTGAGCTTCTCCCTGTCCGACGACCTTTACTTGGTTAGAGACATAATAAAAAGCAAAATTATTTCAGTTTGAAGCAGTCTTCAGAAAGATTACACATATAGTTCCTCTGCATGATTTCTTATAGGTGGCTTTGAAAATGGAATAGTCAGTTACAGTGACCGAGAAACCAAGTGTGGTTTCCAAAGTATTTGTAATCGATTGCGTTGGCTTTTCCTGTGTGTTTAGGAATATACTATACAGATGGACTCAGACCAGAGGGCACCTGAACTCACACTTTTCTGACCTGACGATGAATATACAAAAATAAGTGCAGGTACAATTAGTAAATGATGTGTCAAGTCCAGCAACTGATAAATACAGAAACTGGGATTCAAACCCTGTCTTTATCCTAAACATTATTGTATCACCATGTGTTAATAACATGGTGTATCACCCTGTGTTAATAACAGAAAAGAAAGACACTGTTTAATAGGCTTTTCACACCTTCAAAGTCAAGAATTTAATTACAGGCTTTCATTTAAAATGACACCTGCTAGTGGCCTCTTCCTGCTTCTCCCTAAAAGACCAGTGATGATGCAAAAAGGCAGGATTAAAAATCCCCAAAACTAGGACACATGTCCAGCCTACTCCCAGAATCTGGAGGAATTGCTACAAGCTAGAAACAGGCAAGACAGGATGAAGAAACGTCAGTGACGCACGCGTGCCGGGTCCACCTGGATGCTGGGGTGAGGGGAGGGCCGAGCCTCCGTTCTCCCCCCGCCTCCTGCCCACACAGGCAACACGCTGGGTGCCCCGGCCCGGGAGCCGCGGCCCCGCGAACCTCCTGCGGGGCGTTAGCCACACGAGGCCAATTCTCTCTCCCAGCTCCTCCCCGTTTGGCTCTCAGTCTGTGAACACGTGGAAACCACAGTGCAGAGAATCCTTGGGCGGGAAGGAGGGCAGGCCTGCAGCAGTCGCTCCCCCGTGGGAGGTGTGGGGTGATGCCGCAGGGACAGCCGGGTGCCAGCGCCCAGGGCAGGAGCAGCTGCTTCTGTCCCCACCCACACGGTCTGTGAGCTGAGGGAGGCGACGCTCTTG